AGCTTCCTGCTGAGGAACACGGTTTGGAGAAGTGTCTTCAAATAAGGTTCTAACAGAAATTACAGTTGGCTTTTACATTTTTRAAACTACTCAGCTAAATTCTTTGATTTCTCAACAGCCAATTTATGTCCCAGGCCACCTCCCTGCTCCTTGTTCACACTGCAGTAAAATGCTATGCAGTGAAACACTGAGCTTTCTTAAATTGATTTAATATTTACTCCATGACTGACATCTTTAGGTTTCCTTAGTTAAATATTTAATCTTCATAACCATAGTCTGTGCACAGACTATATAGTGTAGGAGTGATGAAAGGAGACACTAGGGAATATTATATTTGAAAGAGTCACTTTTTATTTCTAAATAACAGTGCAGCAGCCCTCTAGTACCCCAGACACTATTTTTTGGAAAAGAATCAGGTCTTGAAACATCATTCCTATTACAGATGAAAATCAAAATRTATTTTATTCTCCTGCCCCAAAAATAGAAATAAGTGGTAGCCTCCCCATAGGCAACTAATTTGRGGATGACTTTCTTCCTTCTTCTTCTCATCTGGAGCAGGAGTCTTTTCCAATAAAACAMAGTTCTGAGAAGGCTTTGGGTTCAGTGAATGTGTGTTCTCAGTGAAATAGTGTTGAGTAAAAAATTGTAGGTCTGCTCTGTTTCTGACAAATGGAGTGTGACTGCTGGAGTTTACAGTCGTGTCAAGAGGATGAGCCTGTAGGTGACTCCTTTCACTTTACAAACCACAGGGGCAGAAATCCAGGCTGTTAGGTAGATTTGCCTGGGATGTAGTTTTTCCAAGATATATTTTTTTAATTATGAAGCTTGTTCATTTTCTTTCTTTATTACGTTCCTTTAGCAATGTGCAGAATATCACTGTTTTTCACTTTAAATGAGAGGTGGAATACAATTTAGGAAAATCCCTGGTGTGATATGAATTCAGTTATGACTTTTCATAACAGCATTGTAAATAGTTAAAGACCTGCCCCAACATTAGAGTTATGGGGTACTTGGTGTCTGCTCTGATGGCAGTAAATGCATATATTCTAACAGAAATGACAYAGTGAATTTCATTTATTTGTGTGGTTTGTTTCCTCTGAGGCTTAAAACAAAGTCTACAGTGAAACAGATGGTTTTATGCATCTCTAAATTAACAAGTCAAACAGGCCAAACCAGAAATGTGGCAAACAGGCCAAAATAGATTAAACAGGACTCTTTACTTATCATGTCACTTAAATCTATTTTTAAGAATTAAAATATACAGTAATGGTAAAGAAGCCATRAATGTTCCATCTCTGGAATATACTTTTTCCTAATTTTAGCAAACCATCCAAGACACAAATTGCAAGAAATAACAACTCTTAAGCAGGCTGTCTSTGCGAGTGGTTTAGAAAGTGCAGCCTGTGTAACCATCCCCACAGGGCAYGGCAGCTCTTGGCACAGGCAGCAATTGTTCTGTTGAGAGCTCTGAGGTAGAAACATGTCTTTTGGGGACTGAGGATGTGTCCCATGCCTTGTGCCCAAATTCGAGGAGCTGTTTGAAATCCCCAAGRCCTCTAGAGAGGCTCTGGATGGTCACTGGCAGCCATCAGTGTTGTCTTATTCTTTCCTTCTTCAGAACTCAGCCGGTTTCTAGAGTCTGTGTTTTAGCAGAGAGGTGGTGATGGTAACCTGTCCTGTTTCCAGGTCCAACACAGAGAGCTCAAGAGGGTTTTGTCACTGCAGATGGGGGTGCTGGGGACCTGCATTGTGTCGAGGGACACCACAGTGCACCCCTTGGCAGCGCAGCTCCAGCTCTTGCCCTCRTTGCTGGATGGGTGCAGGGTGGAATTCTGTGTGGAACACTGCTTTGGTTTCCTTTCTTGAGATTCACAGTGACTCCACCATTCTCCTCTCTTCTGCCACTTTGAGTAGTTGGGGGTTTAACTTCAGAAAATGAGCCCAATATAAAAGCCCTTGGGGTCTCTTGGGGTTTGGGGTCTCAGTGTATTTCTGATGAGATGTGTGGGTCCGAGGTCACTGAAAAAGAAGAGACAGCTGCAAACTATTCCAGCTATATTTTTATATCCAGTTAAAGATCCTCCCATAACCATCAGATTTTGTGTACCCTGCTGGTTTTAGGATGTAATCAATTAGCTTCCCTGTGTAACAAGGCATAGAATCAATTAGCTCTGTATGCAAACGAGGTAGTAAGCAGAAAATCAAAAATGCATGGTAATAAAATAAAATAATAGTGAAGGCATTACTGGAGATAAAACAGATGACCAAATAGTTGAATTTCTGAGGTTAAATCCTAGGTGAATCGTCCCTCCTGGGGCAAGRCATTACTTTCCCAGAGGCAACTCCCAGCATGGCTGATTCTCCCCACTGTGCTTGATCTCTTTGTGTGTGATGGCGTGAACAGTTGTCCTTAACTAACTTTTCCCAGGGTTCTTGGGTGGAACCCTACCACCAACCCAATCAAAACAATTTTTTTTTTTTTCAAGCCCAGTGCAACGATTGTAAATTCTGTAAAATCTGTTTTGTGCAGCTTAAGTGATGTGTTACAGTCCACACCTAAAAGCCATGAAGTGAGAAAAAACAGGGGCTGGGTGTCCTGGCTATCTTGAATAGCTGTGCTAATATTTATCCCAAAGTTTGGAAATGAAGTCACTCCCAAACAAATGGTGATAGATGCCAGAGGATTTTTAACACGTTGGGCTGCAGCCACGTGTCGTCTGACTGTGCGCCAGCCGTTCCACTGCAGTGAGCTCGGCCTCATGCCTCCCTTTTTCATCCTCCAGTCTTTTCCTCAGACAAAACTCTGGTTTCTCTTGACCTCCTCTCTTCTCTCTGCTCAGCACCATCGAGACATTCAGTCCCCTTTGGAAAATATGCCATTGTTTTTGCTTTAGAGACCCTCGGCTGCCTCTTGCCTGCACCACTTTCATTTGCACTTCATGCTGTGTTTTTTCCTGGGAAGGATATTGGCCTGCACAGTCCTCTGCATTTCCAAGCGTGAGCCCACACATTGCACAAATTAACTTTGTATTTATAGCATGCAGGAGAATTGCCACAGAGGAGAGATATTTGGGTGGAATCTTGCAGCGCTGTAGTTACTCAGGAACATAGAAGGTAATTCAATTTCCAAAAAGGCATCTCAACCCCCCAGTAATTCTCTCTGCTTGTACAATTGTTTGGGAAATATTAGAAAAGGCTAGAAGTGGCACTGGAGAATTAACTTGTTGCTTGGGAAGGAAACGGTTTTCAGTGCAGGATGCTTTGGGAGGAAGGGAAGGGTGCTGGATGGATGTCATTGAGCTGAATGGCTCCCATGGGTGAGCTGGTCACAGGGTAAGGAAAGTGGCTGGATGGTCAGTCCAAGGGGTGGTGGGCAATGGAACCAAACCCAGCTGGTGGCCAGTCCAGAATGGTGCCTCCCAGGGCCAGCACTGTTTGATTTCCATGGTCTGGATGAGGGGATYGAGTGCATCCTCAGTGCCTGTGCAGGTGACTGCAAGGTGCACGGGAGKGTTGATCTGCTGGAGGGTGGGAGACTCTGCACTGGGACCTGGACATGGCCTCTAGCTGCTCCARGAGATGTTCAGATTGGATATTTGGAARAATCATCAYGGAAAGKGTTSTCAAGCAYTGGAACAATCTGCCCAGGGCAGTGATGGAGTCACCATCCCTGGAGGTGTTTAAATGTTTGGATGTGGCACTTGGGGATGTGGTTTAGTGGTGGCCTTGGCAGTGCTGGTGTTGGTGGTTGGACTTTATGATCTTAAAGAGCTTTTCCTAAATGGTTCTGTGATTCTAAAGTGGGTGTTGTTGGTAGCCAGCCCCGGTGCTGAAATTCTCTGATCATTTCATAAGCCGCTTAAAAGTAGTTTCCAGGATTAAGCAGTTTTCAGGGGTAAAAAAATTCCATTTCTTTTTCATTTCTCTACTGTAAAAGGACTGATATTGCAATATTTATATATATATATATATATATATTCATGTAATAAATATATGGCTAAAATATTAGTAATACTAAACCCCCATCTCCTCAAAGTAGGCAAGTGCTAATTGCTGTTCTTTCAAAGGGAGATAGACCCTTAATAGGATTTATGCCTCACTCTGGGCTAGATTTATCTGAGTGTTTAGTCATTTACCTGCCTTTGAAATCAGTGAGAATCAGTTTTAAAAATTAGCTCATGGGCATATGTATCCCCCAACCCTCAAGTGAAACTTCAACTCCAGAACAAATACATTAAACAACTTTTCATTTGAATAACTGCAATCAATGGGAGTTRTGTAGCTGGGGGCTTTGGAAAGTCCCTGGAGTCTTTCACCTGCGTCTTTCAGCACTACACATGTCTTTGAAATTGTGGCCCTGAGGCGCTCCTGAATGTATTATCTGTCCTTTTTAATAGGATGTACATGATACTACTATTATAGATGAGATTTCTGCTCTGGTRTCTGTGGCTGATGAGGGATGAAGATTTGCAGGTACAGAACAGCGAGTCCCTAATGAGAGGAAAGGGCAGAAATGCCATCGGTTTCTAACTGWCAGTTGGATAAAAACCTGAAAGCATGTCTAATTCAAGCTGTTAAAAAGAAAGTGATGATTGAATGCATTGAAATAATGGTGCACCCTGTCTTCAGAACCATGCTTTTTAARCT